CACCTACTATATATATATATATATATATATATATATACACATGTATATACATGTATATACATATACATCTATGGAAAATTACACAATAAGACCATTTATCTTCCGTATAAGCTGGTGTCAAATTAGATGGCTGCATTTATACAATCTATATTGTATCACACAAATCAAATACATAGCATGAAATATGGATCCCGTAAAACACCCCCTTCAAGCATATTTAACCCTCTCGATAACTAAAAAGAAACAAGCTACAACCAGATGACACATGAATCAGGAAACAGGTTAAAAGAATATCCAACGTCCAAATCCTCAATAATCGCCAACTCCACAATATTAAAGGCTCCATTAAAAGCAAAAAATGATAAAAATAATTACTTCTAGGGTTTATACAGCTACAGAGAAGATCAAGATGAAGTTACAGTCATACCAGGTATAAGGTAAACGCCATACCTGGAAGATCTCCAGTAAAATCCTAGATTATCATAAGGCAATAAGAAGATCTTCCACTGAAGTAGAGCCACATAAACCCTAGATAAAACTCCGATACGTATTGGACAATTGAACGAAAACTAATCTCCTGCGGCCATATTAGGGTTAGGGTTTACTCCCACGTCCGGATTTAGGGTTAGGGTTTTTAGCACGAGAGATCAACTCCTTTTATAGAGCGAGAGAGAGTGCGCCTCGCCCTTTTGGACCAACTTGCCATGTCATTCTGATAAATTGCTAAAATATCCCTAGCATTGCAGAGTTAAATGCAATCCTGGCCGTCGATTCCACATGGATGTGTGACCGCATCCTTTCATTTTTCCAATTGTTACCCCTGGGATCGTTAAATTGCGGATTTGTCCCTATCTCTATTTGGGGCATCAACCGTTCGTGATCACAAATTACCGCAGATATTGACCATTGGTGCAAGTGGACACACAATTCTGCGACCAATGTTACCGTTAAATGGGGAGAACCGACGATGGATTGATAAGTACACTTTCTTAATTCGATGTGCAGTTCAATTTGTTTATAGGAAAAAGTTTATATTGAGGTTGGCACCTTCAAACATATAATTAAGGTGTGCCTCTTTCGAAAAATATTATTTTGATGTCAAAAAACGTCTAATTGACATTGAGATACATAGATATGGAGAGAAATATATTTCAAATTTTAAAAATATAATATTTTGCATCATATTATCAGGGCCATCCATTTTCAAAACTTTTATGTGTTAATAGATCAGCTTGATTTTAGTTATTTTTTAGTTTAAATTTTTATAATTAGAGATAAAAATAAATTGTCACACCATCCTAATAATTTTTTATGCCGAATCTGCATCTCATGGAAAATGCTTAGGGGTGCAAGTTAATTTGATTGTTTAAGATTGCAACCTTATGTAAACCACACTATTATCTATATCTATATTATTTGTGTTTGTTTATTTTAAGGCTACGCAAGAGATGTGATTTAGTTCAAGTGGAAGGTTCCAAAAGGGCAAAAGGAATATCCAAAATGACATAGATGGAAATAGTAATAAAAATATGTGGGGTTTTATAATCTTATTGATGATATGCTCTTGATAGAGCAAAACGACAAAACAAGATTTGTGTAGCAAACTCCAAATAGTTAGAATAAAGCACTGATAATGATGATAGTATAAGGCCAATTTTTTTTGTATAATAACGTCACAATCATTTTCAACCATCAAATATAAAATCCGACAACTTAAAGGTTAAAACAAAGTTTGCTTTCTTATGAAATCTTTGAGAAATTTGGAGAATGAAAAAAAACAAGAACGTTGGGAGCATTGGTTCAGCATCCGGGCTATGAAAACTGAGGAAGAGAGATATAGACTATAGCTCGTGAAGTAAGAAATGTTTATACAAGGAGAGAGGTTATGGCTTGAGTTATAGATACATAGAGAATTGGGGTTACAGATGAAAGAGAGAGAGAAAACATGGCATGGAGTATAAGGAGAAAATGGGGCTCAAGCTAGTGATTTAATTAAGGAAAGAGGGTGAAGGGTGTAAAAATGAAATATGAGGAGGTTCCATATTTCCCTTTTTTTTTGTCCCAAAAAGGGGACAAATACGGGCTCTGGTTTCCCAACAGCCAAACAAGGAAGAGTAACAATAACAAAGAAAACATGATGCTTTTTATCTTGGTTTTTTAGTTGTCAAGTAGGGTTAGAGTGTACCAAATGGTTTGAAAAATTATATTTTGCGCTTTGTGTCCCATCAATCACATCCCCCTCAGATTTCACATAATAGGGTTGATAATGATTATTACTTCCTCATATCAAAAGCACATTGTTTTACATATTTATGTAGTATTTCTAGTACCACATTTAACCGCAGTTAGGGGGTGGATAGATATGATAAAAACAACAACAAATGGGACCTTATCCATGGGTAAAAGGTATGGTCATCGCCTTAGAATTTCAAGGGGTTTATTTGTATCTTTTTAGTTTTTAAACAAATCAAAATTTCCTAGTTTTGGGATATAACTATGGTATACCTTTGAAAAACTATGAGATTAATGGATCGAATGAATCGATAGGACTTGCAATATATTTTGTGAGCTAAATTTGAAAACTTGTTCTTAAAATTATTCTATCAGTATTCTCTATCTTTCAAATGTATAGATACTCCATCTCTCATTAAACTCTCCCTAAAATTCGGTTTGGATACTGCGCCTCTCTCCCTCTCTCTCAACCACGCCTCCCCCCTCACTATTGGCATTCCTTGCACTGCATACTATTGAATATACAATCTGACATTTATTTTTCTTCAATACTAAGATAAAGAGATAACACATGTCAATAATAGGAGCGGCCCTTGATTGAGACAAAGTCACCCAGAGATAGATAAATGGTTATGTGAAATTATGTCCCATACAAGAAACTGGTCATCGAACCACTTTCTTACGGACCACCGGTGATGTCGGCTTGCAAGTGCAATCCCTAAAAAAGTTTCAAAAAAATGTTACTGTATAAGAAGGGAAGGGATTTGGAAATTGTTTGAAGGAGATTGTCGATCTAACAAAAAAAAAAAAACCCAAACAAGATTCAAACGTAAAAAAAAGATACAGGATATAAAAAGGAAAGATAATCTCAAGCAAGGCCCACATGCTCGGGATCATGAGTCAGTTGCCGATTCAGGATCAAGTTTGGTGCACCGATTTCTTTTGATTTTTTTAAGTCCATCGAGTGAGATCGACTAATATCATAGTAGAAATTTTGGTATTCAATGGTTTGGGTTTAAGTTCATCTAAAATTGGCCTCTAAGGGTGTACACACAAAATTCTCCTTAAGTGTGGCTTTCTCTCTCTTCAATCCAATTGCCTAGTAGAAACTACATATTTTCCTAAATTTCTAATGTGGGTACTAACCCCAAGTCGGTTCTTGAAAAATATTATTAAAAGTAAACTTATTTCTAAGGGATTGCATATTATAAGGCTATTTATTTTTTATACAAAGACGTCACAATCATTCTTGGCCTTTAGATCTAAAATTTGATGGATTGAAATGTGTCACAATATTCAAGAATTTTTATTTTAGACATTGTGCCTAGTCGATGTCATAACTCCAACCACTTGATTTTACATCTAATGACCACTTGATTTTACATCTAATGGTTAGTAATAGCTATGGTCTCCCAATACCAATAATGAATGTTCTTTTTGTATATATTTCCTATTTCCAAAAAGTGTAATAGTGTCTTCGCGGCTTTTAATCAATCCAACTAGGTTAATGACCACTCAATCCAACTAGTATTTGGGTTGGTGTTCAATCAAGTTCAATGACACTCTTAAAAGATTACGTGCATGAAACAACGATCGAATGTCACTGTTTGGTTATAGTGAGATATGGAGACACTTGATATTCATATAAGAGAATAAAATCGAGATATGGATCTAATATTTGTATGCTTGTCAATTTCAGGGGACTTGGTTGTTCCTTTATTTTTTAGAAATTTTATTTATTAAGTGTATATTTTGTTGGGGGGTTGAAATGAACTTTATTGTGTATCTTGAGTATACGTAATGCTTGTAGTTCCTTAGAATTGGCGTGATTGGCTTTGCTAGATTCTAGATCTCACGGTCATGTATTGATGGGAGGAGTTCTTAATTTGTTATTTATTAACTAGATAAGTAAAAATGAAAAGACGATAGAGTAGGACTTTATGTGAATCTTAGAGTTTATGATTTTGGTAAGAGAATTCAACAATGTAAGAAGTACAAGGATAAGTTAATATTGGCAAGTCCTTAATTTTATTTTTTTCTTATTGTGTTTTATTTATTTTAGTCATGTAATAAACCTTACACAAAAGATAATGATGTGGTGTTTGAATAAATTTAGAGAACAATATTCATGTAAAATTCTCTACACCTATAGAGAGGGATGTGTCTTATTTATAATTATTATGTACTCATCATTGATAGATTCAATCAAAGATGTGATTACAATACATATAAGAAATTTATCACAATATATCATGTTAATCCTTATCATGATCGAAACTTTTAGATCGTTATCATTATCTAGATATATCATGATTCAATCAAAGATGTGATTATCATCATTCTTATTACTCCCCCTCAAACTATTGTGAATGTCAAACATTGACAACTTGTTTGCTATCGAATGATGCTGTGAAGTAGGGAGACATTTTGTAAAAATACCAACAAGTTATTCTATAGTTGCAACATGATCAGGAGTAATATCCACTTTCAACATTTTCTCAAATAAAATGATAATCAAGTTGTTATACGTCATTTTTTATGTACTTGTATCCTGAGACGAATAAGGAGAGAGTCGGTAGTAACTCGGTCCTGCTGGTGCCCAAGACGCCGCAAGACTACAGGAATAATATAGCAATAAGTCTAAAACTGAATGACCTTTGAAGAAGTATCAAAATGACTTCAAATTACATGAGAGGGTATTTTTGGATACCCTAATGGCACCCACAAAACTTTGTGTCGTGTTTTGATGAGTGAGTTTTGATATGATCAGGATGAAACTTGGTTTTCAATTCTAGTTCCTATCATTTTCTTATAGCTATAGCCTCATTTTATAGGTCTCAAAACAGTATTAGACCACCACTTTTGGATTCGAAATGTCGAAAAACCTTAAAGCACCAAATTTCAGCTCAATCGGACCCTCCGAGACCATTTTGGGTCTAACATACCATAAAAATGTGGGTTTTACACGTGAACCAGTTTCCATTTATGGAAATTGTGTTTTCTTATTTCGAGATGATTTTCAAATGCTCATAACTCACTCGTTTTAAGTCCAATTAAGCTTGAATTCGAACATGAGCTAGATCTCGATGACTTGCTCGTTTTGACATATTGAACATATCATGGCGTTGTTGAAAACGAGAGAATTTCTAGAAAGAAGATAGGCTCAAAACATGAAAATTCAGATTTTATATAAAAAAATCCAATTCTTTGAGAGGATATAGCTCAAGATCCTAACTCAAGATCTCGATGTCAGATCATCGCAATTATGGGTCTGTTGCGACCGTGCTTCGAATAGCTATAATTTGATATAGTTTTTTTGTATGATCAGAGGTTGGATGACACGAATTTTGAGGCAAAAAAAGGTATACTTTTTCAGCCGTCAGAATCCCATTTTTCAGTGACGTCCCAAAA